ACTTGAATTCCTAGTGAACGGTGGAGTTATCACTGAAACTCACCCGGGGATGCGAGTACATGCAGCTGCTGAATTCCAGTTAGGATTACCCTACTGGCAGCTTGTCACTTGGTACCCTTCTTGTTGTGAATTATTTTCCCGTGCTGGTGTTGTTCTGATTGCTCAATTCCTTGTTTTCCTGATTTTAAGGGGAGCAACCCACAAGGTCGCTTCTCCCTAAACTATATTTTAATGTAACAATCCCCCTTCTCACGCGTGAGGCTAGCAACCCCACTCTGTAAACAAAGTTGCTACAGAAACTCCAGCACGATGAATCTCGTTGCACCAAAAGAAAAAGTCTCTGTGGGGAGATGGAATGTCTGCACCATGTACGAGATTGGCAAAGCTGCCCAGATCGCAAACGAAGTGAAAAGATACAGAATTCAAGTACTGGGAATATGTGAAAGGAGATGGAACGGGAATGGACTCACCAAATTGTCAACGGGTGAGTCAGTGATCTACTCCGGTCATTGAGAGGATAACCACTTGCACACCGAGGGCGTGGCTATCATGATGTCACCAACGGCAACGAAGGCCCTGATGCAATGGGAGGCGATCTTGCCCAGGATAATGGCCGCCAGATTCAACTCCAAAGGAAGGAAAGTGGCAGTTATACAATGCTATGCACCGACAAACAACGCAGACCTCGAGAAGAAAGAAGAATTCTACAGACAACTACAGGCAACAATGGACGGTACTCCAGTTGGCGATATTAAAACACTAATGGGAGACATGAATGCCAAACTGGGATTAGACAACACAGGAAGGGAACTCATCATGGGTAGAGAAGCTCTCGGAGAAATCAATGAAAATGGAGATGAAAGCGTGTGGGCAGACTTGGAGCCAGGTGAAAACTCTAGCAGAGAACCGAACACAATGGAGACGCACGGCTGAAGCCCTATGTTTCTCTAGGAATTAAAGGAAACAATAATAATAATACTGGCAGCCGCTAACCCGGTAAAATTATTATTTCATTCACTTTAGGCTTTCCTGTTGATTGACTGGACCGAAGTGTTCATAGTGGCTCCCAGTACGGATGCTTCGACGATATTTGAGGATTTAACCTGAAGTAATTCGGTGAATAATGACTAGCATTGGATCCCAGAATTTGGCACCCGTCAGTTGAATGTACCTGCATTCCCCAGTGAGTGGTGATATTCCCTCTGAGGATCGAAACCTTTCCCCATCGTTACAAATACCAAAGCGTAATCCACTAGACCTCTGCTGTAACCAGAGCCACGGAGACCGAACACTTCCGCTCGATTAATCAGCAGGAATCTCTAAATAATTACTGATACCCGTTGAACATGAGGTGGCTCTGGGGGCTCAAGTGGATAACGCTTTCGCGTTTGAAGTGTTGGCTACTAGTTTCGGGCTCTAGTGGAAAAATCATCGCTCAATGACGAACACAGACTCATCCAGATGACGAGGAAATGGGCTTCCTGCATTCCATCCACCAAATTACTGCAGGTAACGTTATTTAACCCTCAGGTATCATCGAAGTGTCCGTACTAGGAGCCGGTATGTTAACAGTGACCGAGCATCTCTGTGCAAAATTAAAAAAATCAATCGGCGCGTAATACAAAATAACTCAAAGAATATTTCTAGATAGTGGTTGTCTAAGATAAACGTTTTTACCGTTTCTTATGTTTAGGTAACATAAAAATAACTTGGAAAATCCCTACTGAACAGTCTGTTTACGATATTGCTGCTTATTCAGACATCCAAACTACCTTTGTAATTATGGTCCTTTTTTCTCCTAAACCGTATATCATTGTTCCGACGTTTGTATATCGTCTGTTGACTTAATCCTCATTATTTGTTTTTGTTCCTGTTCAAATCCTAATTCGAATGCGTCTCATTTATGGTTGTTTGATGATATTGATGATGATGTGTTGTTCTACGACTATGATTCTGTTTGAGTGGGTCAGGGTTATTTTGGCCAACAGACTGTCCTTGAGAATGGTTTTTGCTGTGTGGTTCTTGATAACAGAGCTTTGATATCATCTTGTTGGGAATATTCTACGTGATTATCAGGTACTTCAAAGAGCTTGATTTCGGTTAAATAATTCTGTTGTATAGTACACGTTTTGTCCTTGAGAAACTATTGGACCTATACAGCTGCCCAAAGGCATTGTTGAGGTAATTTTGCGTTTTGAAACATTCTGATTGTTGAAAAGTACCTCAGATTTTATCACAAATAATTGTCTGTTTGTTACTGTCATTGGGGCATTTTGTGACTGTGAGTAGCTCAAGAAAGTTTTATTCCGCTGGCTATACAGTAGAATGTAAAGATTTGTTTCCTACATTCAGACCACAAAACGTTGGTTTTGGTAATTACAGTCTGATGAAGATGTCATCCAGGTTTATCTCTATATATCCATTATATTTTAAGCAGATGAAATATTTCACTGTCATCAAGAAAGTGTATAAACTGAGTCGTATAACAGAAAAGGCGTTCAGTGAAAAGTTACTCTTTTTTGGGTAATATCATTCTCAAGCTGTACAATTGCATATATATAGTAAATTTTCCTTGGCAACAAAATGAATATTTTCAAAGATTTTTCATAAGAATTGTAAATTCTAGATAAAACGTTGCGTCCAATTAACAAGACGTAAACAAGGTGGAACACTTAAAAGATCCATCTACAGAAAGCCAACAATGAACGCGTAACTTACTAACTTTCACAATTGGGTGTCTCTCTACAGTACAAAACGAAACCTGATCCGTTCACTGAGCCACAGAATCCGCAACATTTACAGCCCTGATACTATGGAAGGGGAGCTGTACACTCTGAAGAGAATCCTACTCGAAAATGGATACTCAGAATGTTTAACCACAAGATCTATGGAAATTAAACCACCAGAACCCCCCACAATTTCTGCTTCCAAAAAGCTTCTCTACCTGAATCTAGAATTCAGTAGAGACTTATCGGCAGAAATACTGAGAAACTGCCTGTTCTCCTCACTGAAGAAAACCTTCTTCGCGACTGAACTCCCACTAACCTTCTCTACGAAACCAATGATATGCATGAACGTGAAGGATAAGCCCCATCAATGTGTATCTGTAACAACAGAAGACAAGGGCCAGGCAACAGATCGTTTATTTAGGAAATCAACAGATATTTATGGATTTTCATGTACATTATTTTGTTTACTGTAAGCAAACAAACACAGTCTTCTGATTAGTGGTTTCTCGCTGAACGTTAATTTTTCATCTCTTTGTGGCCGTTTATTGAAGTTCAGATTATCTATCTGCAAATTGTACCCGCCTACGCAAACAAAGTCTGCTGTGATTGGTTGTTGAATCAGACCAATATTGGGGATGTAAACATTGACGTAAATTACTGTCTACCAATGTGGCTAGCAGCCAGCTCTCACCACACATCTACCAGTTCACCTGCTCGTGTGGAACTAGGCGTGTTGGACGTACCCAGTGCTTGCTGTGCAAACATATCATCGAACATTTACTCACAGTAATGGTTTTATAAAGTCCCTCCAGAAGCTCTATTCTGAGACATCTGATCGAATCAGGACATCAAGTAAACCCACTTCAACTTCAAAGTTGTCTACAGAATACGTAGGAATCTTGCTAAAAGAGTACGAATCAAAATTCTTCACATGTCAAATCCTGAACACTGCAAACAAAAGAAGTTTGTTTAGTCATTAAATCTACAGTGGGCCTGACCTATCTTGACACCGAATATGAAATTTTTGTTTTGTCTCTTTTTACTTGTTTGTTTCTTGATTATGTAATGTTTTCTTCTCTCTTCCCCTCATTAAATCGCTACCCCTTATTATCACTGTTCTTTACTTGACTTCTATTCACTTTTTAATTTTAAGTGTTGGTTTTTGTAGGGATTCGATTTGATTAGTTACAGCATTTCATTATGAGCTGACATCAGTTAGAGAACCATTGGAAAACCTGCAGGGAGTACTGAACAGCTGTTTCGCCCTACTTCGGGACTCTTCATCAGCAGGCACCCAGTGGCTTAATGGTCTACGAGCTCGCAGGCCTTGTAACGAGAAGGTCCTGAGTTCGAACCCTGACGGTGGGTGCGTACTGATGAGAAGTCCCGAACACCAGGACGAAATAGATGTCTACTACTCCCAGTGGGTTTTCCAGTGGTTCTCTGACTGATGTTAGCTCATGATGAAATCCTCCAAACAATTTTAATCTTAGTTGAGCCTTACTCAATCCAGGCAATTAGATTACGTCACTCAACTCACTTATTTAATCTTATCTTAGTTTCTAGCCCACTAACAGAATTTTTTATTTAAAATTTGCAATTCTAATGACAAATCTTTGGAAATTTTCATTTTGTTACTAAAGAAAATCTATTATTTTGATGTGGTTGTGTTCTCTGAGCTGGATAGTTAATTTGCGAGGCTTTCATCACCCTACTAGGTGACATCTTCAGCGCATACTTCAATTTGAAGTGAGCCTTTAGATTTCTTCACGAGTTTATTAATCATCTCTCCTGGCGACCTTGGACGTGATTGGTTGTTTTTGTGTGCTTTCACACTTTCTAGGTTACTTGTATTGTCACTCATTGTTTCTTTGACTTGAACTTTGACCCTTTGTGTGTGACGTTTCTTTCTTATCGGTTGATAAATTTTGTCTATCTCGATGTGTCTATTGATTGATGATTCACTGGAATGCCAAGTTGATTAATAAACTCGTGGAGAAATCTAAAAGCTCACTTCAAATTGAAGTATGCGCTGAAGATGTCACCTAGTAGGGTGATGAAAGCTTCGCAAATTAACTATCCAGCACAGAGAACACAACCACATCAAAATCATCCACCTGAGCTACAAATCTTCTCTATCATTTCTAAAATCTACTATATATGTGTTATTCTACAGCCTGAGAATGATATCTCCCGAACACCTTTTCTTTTATATGATTCAATAAGGAGTTTTTCAATGTATAAATTGATAAATCAGTGTAGGCTACTTACGAGGAACTAATATTCAAGTCAGTGATTGGTGGTACTTGAATGATTATATTGTGTTTTGCTTCATTTGCCTTTGATTGCTATAAAAAATTACAAAAAAGAGAGTATTAATAAACAGTAAGTTGTTCATAATCGTTTGAAGTGCAATGAATGCAGTATGAGAATAAGCGATTTGTGCTAAGCTAATAGATCGGAAGTATACTACTAAAATATCTTTAAGAGTAACGAATAACATATTTAATCTTGATGTCAGATGTTAGAAGCCAATCGATAGAGGACTCCCGTTCTAGGATCTGAGCTCATTAGACCTCATAAACAAAATGCATCAGAACTTTAAAGTGGATAGTTATACCAGTCACCATCAGAAGTGCGACCAATCTATGTACACTATCCAGTCGTACAGCCGGAGAGTCATCACCGGAGTACTGTGTTGACAAAATCGACAACCTAACGATCAGTTGAGTCAAGTTCCTAGAATAATAGCCTTCCCTAAGGTTAGAGGTATGTCATGAGTATGTGGGAGTTCTGTATTAACGGTTTCCTGTCGAATACAACTCAATGTTGCAATCAATGGCTTGTTAGAGTGCCTTGCGTGACACTCCACACAAAGACACTGACTTAAGAATGGTGTTGAAATCCCCAATTTTGTAGTTTATACTGAATATAGTAGAACTGTAAGGTGATTTTCGATTTATGAAGGTCTTTCTTGCTTTACCATTCTGGTTTTGACATCATGTAGCTGAAACGATTCTCTCTAGAATATTTCTCCGGTTAATAATGGCTGATGCTAACTCGCTAGGCATATTCAACACTTCTGTCTTCCCTATATTCACATGAAGTTCTTTCTTCAAGGCCTCTTCTTCCAACTTGTTTACTTTCGCCTATAAGTCTTCCAATTTATCTTGTCTGACACATAAATCGTCAGAAAAGTTCAGATATTCTGAAGTCTTCTTATCGCCCCAACGTATTTCCGTTTATTCACTCCCCACCCACTGTGTGCCTCATGATCAAGTCCATTGCAACTAGAAGTATCATACGTGATAGTAGGCGGCCTTGTCTTACTCCTGTCTTCACTTAAAAGGCGTCGCTTAGTTTTTCGTTGTGAACTGTCTGACAAGTGGATTTGTCATATAGCTAATGAATGCGTTTGATGAAGGTTTGGGACACTATATTTTGTAATGTTCAAGTAGTTTCCAAATTACTTCACTGTTAAGGCTGTTTTAGGTCTTTCCAAAATTGAAGTTGAGGTTGAGATTTGACTACCATGTTATGGTCTGTTCGATGATGAAGTGTAGAGTTGCAATTTGATCTGAGCATGATCTATTTTTCCTGCTACCATCTTGTTCCTGCTGGAAATCGTCATGCAGTGTCTTTGACCATTTAATAATAATTTAATGTGCACCGCGATGGTGAGTCACTTATCTTGGTGAACACATTGGAAACCTGGCAGGAAGAATAAAGTCAGCGCCAAAAAATGATTAGAAACATGATAATGGCTACTCCCTTTCCCATTGCTGAACAGAATCCCTGCAAATACTTGCTAAATTACCAAGATTTAGGAATTTATGAATCCTTCTCATCTCACGTGCCCTCGTTTAGATTATCTGAAGTGTGTCTACCTGCACAGATACATCTGTTTTTAGAAAATTAGCACAAAACTTAACACTAGCTTTCAAGGACACTTTATGTCGTGATATTTCGTCGGATTGGTTGGAGGACTTCATCATGAGCTGACATCAGTTAGAGAACCATTGTCAGCTCATGATGAAATCCTTCAACTACTCAAACTAAAAGAAATCCCTACAAAAACCACTACTAATTGAAAATTTGTCAGATATCTAAAATAAGAAATACTGAAATACTGAGCCTATTTATGAAGAGACTTAAAATATGGAACAATTGAGTCATAAGCTTTAGAAGACACAGCTAACATAGAATAAACAGGACTGATGAAAATAACTACCAGCGGGTAGCATCTTCGGCCAACGGGATAAATTGACACCAATTTACATCAAAAATACAAAAAATTATCCCTACCTACTCTCTTTTGCTATACATCTGAGATTCTCTTTCTGAAAAAGCGCGAAGATTTAGATTGTGCAAAGGAATTCAAAAAAATAATTAAAATAAGTGTGCCTAATTGGGACCTACTTCAAATTCCTATTTGTATTTAACCTATAATTTATTCTATCGGAAAATGTTTTATGTAAACGACATTAAATAATCCCAAGTCAAAACTTAACGTTTACGAGGAGTTCTCTGATCATCAGTAATCTTTCAGTTGATGGATTTAGTTAAAGGGAGCTGGACTGAATTGAATTGATTTTGTAACGTAAATCATTGAACACAGTGCAACAGTTCAAGATGCCAAACACTTCACTAAAGCACATATAAAGAAAGGAAATGTTCAAGAGAAAGGACGATCACCCTGAAGAGTAATGTGAATGTAATGAACTTTGGAGTTAATCAAGAATGAATGCATGTATTGCAGTGTAAGCCATACTACCAACGGTTCCCATGCTGTGGTTCTTATAGGCTCGAAGAATCAAGTTATGCAGTCTACACCTTAATATATGTGTAAAACTTGGGCATTGTGGTAGTAAGTAATTCCATATCAGTTTGTTTATTAGATGTATCACACAGTAATGAAACAGTATTATTTACTGGATGACGAGGTTTCGAACAAAATTTACTGTTCATAATCATTAGACTTATAATCACACGACTTCAAACTTGAGTTTTATAGTTTTCTTTGTCTTCTCTTATTTGTCGTCGTTGGGATAGTAGAATTTTCCAGATATCTGGCTGGACAGATGTTGAATCATTCTTATTACACGTATTTGCAGTTGATTCGATAAATAAAGCCTCAGTCATTTATCAATCTCTCCCTATACCCTGTGACATTAGATTTTAAAACTGTCATCCTATCCCATCCCATTGTGTGGTTGTGTGTAACTGTTTGTAGAGCTATAGTCAACAATCTATATCTTCCCAATCAATACAGCTCTGGAGGCTGTTAGGAATGAATGGAACACTGATCCTGAACTTAAAAATACGACCAAGTTCTCGGTTGATGAAATAATACTAGGTGTTCAGTTATGTCTAACCTCCACTGCATTCGAATTTCAAAATAAGCTGTATAACCAAAAGAATGCGGGTGGCAATAGGATCATCCATATCCACAGAAATAGCAGGCACATTTATGGATAGTTGGGAAGATAAAGATCTTAGAACGTTTACTCCTGCTAACAGGTTATGGCAAAGACATGGGAATGACACATTCACTGTATTGAAATCTGAACATATCCCTTATTTTTTTCCCACACATATACACTCAATAGTAGACGGAATCCAATTCACTTCTGAGTTAGAAAACGAACAGGGTGGTGAGTTGGCCATACTACACAGTAGAATAAAAAGACAACAAGATGGTGGGTTAGATGCTACTAGCATTTATAGGAAACCGACACACTCTAATAAATACCTAGACTTTAATTCATCCCGTCCAAAATCGGTGAAGATAGGTTTAGTTAAATGGCTTTATGATCGAGCCAGTCAGTCAGAAGATTTGAATACTGAAATCAAATAAATAAGGGGAACATTACTAGTGAATAACTAATTATTCACCCGAATTTATTCAAAAATTCATGAGGACTCACAGAAAAATGATGCAAATAACATAAGTAATAAGGAATTACCATATGAAGAAAGAAAATCAGAAGCCCTGCTTATGATTCTTAATGATGTTGAAATTAGAGTGGCATTTAAACCAACCAATTTACCCACTCAGAGACAAACTTTATCTGTATAAATGGACCCAATAGCTCCAATTCAGGAAAACAGTATAATTTATCAAAATTTTACGCAATCGGTGTGAGTTCAATAACAAAGGTCACACTTGTAGATGTGGGTCATTTAAATTATAGAAACATGGGAATTAAGCTAGAGCCAGGATGTCTGACCCTGCCCAGTTAAACAACCTAGAAAAGAGCTCGATCATTACAATGTATTCACTTGGGACAGAGTGGCTAGGGAGACTAATCACTAAATCTCTGTTCGTCGAATCAATACCAAATACGTGCCATCAAAATGGTGCCACGTCTGTACCGGATATATAGAAAATTACAGTGAATTACGAGGGAGGGGAAAAAAGTATTCAAAGTAAATTGTGAAGTCGTGTGAGTAAATTGATGTAGTTGTGAGCAATAAACTGTGCTCGAAACACCTTTTCTAATTAATTCACGTTCCCAGTGGAACATAAGGATTCAAGCTAGAGGCTTGAAGTTTCGGAATCAGTGGTGTTTATTTATTTTTACAGACTGGGGTTGCTAGCCTCATACTCAGCCTTCCCTCTTTACCAGTCTTATTACTGGCTTAGCGAGGTAGAGGAGTGTGCAGGCCGAGGATGGAAACCCGGACCAAATGAGGCGTGGTTGGCGAACATCCTCCCGCTGTGCCACCGACGCAGTTACTAGAACTTCATCACTGAATTTTGCATCAAATAAATTTATCTAATACGGAATTATACTCAACAGTGGATCCCTAATTCTGCATTAATAACACCTACCTACAGTCATAAACTGATGTCATTTTTTCGATATAATGACAGATAACCTTTTCCGACCTAATTCTATATAAGCTGATAGTTCCAAACAGAGGAGAATACGTTGTCTTAGCAACTGTAAAACATCTCCAAGCCATCTGAATCTAGATATAAAGAAGAAGATTTGTAGCTCAGATGGGTGATTTTGGTGAAGTTGTGTTCTCTGAGTTGGATGCTTTATTTACAAGGCGTTCATTGTTCCACTAGACAACATGCTCAGCTCATACTTCAATTTTAAGTGAGCTTTTAGAATTCGCCACGAGTTTACTAATCATCTCTTCTGGTAACCTTGAATGCAGTTGGTTGTTTCTATGTGTTTTCTCACCATATAGTCTACTTGTATTGGTATCGATTGTTTCCTTCATCTGAAAGTTGACCTTTTGTTCATGTGAATTTCTTCTGACGGTTTGGTAAATCTTATCTATGTCAATGTGTCTGTTGACTGTCGATTCACTTGAATACCAGGCTTCTAGAAATTCCCTGGCATTTTTGGTGTTTCCTCTGTCTAAGATTTGAACATTGTCCCAAAAGAATTGGTGTCGATGATTTTCTATATGCAACGATATGAGGGAGTGGATATCGTGTCTTTTGACGGTCAGTTTATATTCATGGATGCAAAGATGAAGAGGGCATCCACTTTGATCAGTGTGGTGTATTTCACAATTGTTGCAATTTATCTTGTATATGATGTTGGTTTTGTCTTCTTTCACTACTGAGTTCGAAAGACTTGGGTGACACTAGAGCCGAGTGAAGTGAATTTATTGGTTTATGGGAGACACCAATTCCAAAAGTTTTGAATAATCTTTTATTAATATCGAACAATCGAAACCTCTCAACTAAACCATCCAGCTCAGAGAACACAACTATACCACAACCATCTTATTAATATATGTGTAAAACTCGGGCACTGTGGTAGTAAGTAATTCCATATTAGTTTGTTTATTAGATGTATCACACAGTAATGAAACAGTATTATTTACTGGATGACGTTTCGAACAAAATTTATTGTTCATAATCATATCAATTGTGATCACACGACTTTGACACTTGAGTTTTATAGCTTTCTTTGTTTTCTCCTATTTGTCGTAGGGGGAGTAGAATTTTCCAGATATCTGGGACAGGTAATAAATCATTCCTATTACATGTATTTGCAGTTGATTCGATAGAGGAAGCTTATGTTATCAATCTGTCCCTATACCCTGTGACATTAGATTTCAAAACTGTGATCCTATCCCATCCCATTGTATGGTTGTGTGTGACTGCATGTAGTGAGTGATATAGCTGAACTATTCTCTGGATTTCTTATCTTATTCGGGTCAACCAATCTAGATTTTGCTAAGTTTTTATGTTCAGCTAGTCTGACTGCCCCTGTTCTACTAATTTGACCTATGTATTTTACCTGACAATCATTGCAGGCAGGGTATTAGATAAACTAAATTGTTTTGTTTAATTGGCTGTTCCACAGGATCCTTTAACCGACAAAGCTTGTTTCTAATTGAGTTTGTGGGTTTGAATGCCACTTTCATTCCTGCCTTGTTGAGAATTCTGCGTGAGGCTTCCGAGGTTCAGTCCTTGTATGTTTGTTTATCGAATCAACTGCAAATACATGTAATAGGAATGATTTATCACCTGTCCCAGATATCTGGAAAATTCTACTCCCCCTACGACAAATAGGAGAAAACAAAGAAAGCTATAAAACTCAAGTGTCAAAGTCGTGTGATCACAATTGATATGATTATGAACAATAAATTTTGTTCGAAACGTCATCCAGTAAATAATACTGTTTCATTACTGTGTGATACATCTAATAAACAAACTAATATGGAATTGCACAACCATCTTAATCTATTCGCTACTTCACAACCTCATCGTCTGATTACCTCCCTGTTAATGGAAGCAATTTTTGAAATGCTGCACATAACATCATACAGAAATAATTACTTAAATGGTAAAATAAAGAAATTATCTACTTACCAAATCTGAATTTTCAAATAAATTCTCAAATGTTTCATTTTCAAATCGTATCGGAGGAAACTGGCAAACGATTTGCTTCATAACTCTTTCTGTCAAAATCTCCTCGTTTCTTTCTTTGAGGTTAACTAGATGGCGATAGTTTTTGTGTCAGAAAAGACAAGAAAGTTTTCCACTCAAATTTTGATTATTCACAAATATCATTAAGTTATTTAAACTAAACTCCAAGGTGTCAATTAAATTGTAGCCTACAAAGACCGCATAAATATTCAAATATCAAAAGCGTTAGGGTTAGATAAGGTGTCATAAAATATTCTTTAAAAAAATATATCCGAATGATTACCAATCAATAAAGTGTTAAAATGACCTTATTCTTTCAAAACAAAAGAAAAAGCAGAAATTAATATTCGATTAATAAGGCATTGTTTAATCGTATTCATTGATCATTGAATAAGTGTATAGTGCGCTATTTTTAAATTATTAATATTATTATTACTTCTATTATTGTATTACCATATATTCACCATGCACATTTTTCTCTTTTTTTCCCCGAATCAATCAATGCAGTCCGCAGATTTTTTTATGAGAAAAAGTCAGAAAATATTCAGTGAAAATAAATCAAAAACTTGAACAGTTCTATGCATAGTTAGTCCGACATATTGTTTTTTGTGTGTGACTAGTTTGGATTGCATCAAAACGGAGCAGATAAACTAACCAGTATGACGGTGTGATTGTCTGAAATCACGTTTTAGATAAAAAAAAAGGTTTCAGAGAACAAAACGCACATGAAGGATTATGTCTATTTGTGTAACTTTTCGAGAGAGAGAGAGAGAAAGTTTTATTCAGAGAGATGAAAAATGCAGACATCCAACCAGCCTACATAAACATAGTCGATTTTTATACCCAAATTTAATGAAAATGATGAAATTTTGAGAGATATTAGAATTATTACGTGTATACGGTTGGATGGTTCAATAAATTTGGATGTCGTCATTAAAAGACGGAGTTTATCTGATAAAAATGTTTCTTGATGTATTTGTTTGATATTAGATGGTTGAAGGCCAATGGGCACAGGAAGTCTTGGACCTAGGTTTCGTGCTATTTGACACTCAACAGTCACTAAGGCGTATCTGCAACCTTGAAGGAACTAATGTCCCTTCTGAGTTTCGAGTGTTGCAGTCACAGACGTTACCACTGAGATATCCGGACTTACGACTGACCTCCTGTAGGACTGTATTGGATACTTTTTTTGGCTAAACACTAATTAGTAACTAGTGTAATGTGTCTAGTCCTATCTTCGGTCCAGACTGAATTCTAGCAGTTAAGTTTGCAACGTAGCCACCATTCTAGGTGGCTCACCATCACGGTGCACTTTGAATCATTGATAGTAGATGGTTGGAGGCAGTCGGAAGTTAGCCTTGGACACAGATTTCTAACCCGCGAGTTTGAATCTCAAAAGGGACATGAATTCCTTCAAGGTTGTAGATACGCCTTGGTGACTGATGAGTACCGACTAGCACCAAACCTGTGTCCTAGGCTTCCTTCCAATCGCCTCCAACTGTCTAATATCAACAATTCAAAGTGTGATGCGATGGGCAGCCACCTAGAACGACGTCCACATTGCAAACCTGAATGACTGATAGAATTCAGTCTGCACCAAAGAAAGGACTAGACACATAACATTAGGTACTAACTAGTGTCCAATCAAAAGTGTTTGTGTGTGATACATTTCGAATATTTTGATCACATATCTCCTGCTCATCTCGATAAAAATGAAAGCTGAGATAAAATAAAACTATATACTACTGATAGACTGGGATGAGTAGGTTGTATACCACTCATATCAACCAGTATTAGTGCTTACTAGGCAGGCTGAGATGATCTAAACACTGGATGGCCATTTTGCGGTGTACCCATTTTGGCTCATCTCAGACATCTGAATCAGTTGAAGCCACCCAATTTCTCGCTAGATACCTGGGTGAGCCGGTCATAGCATAAGTCTAATTCACATGTTGAAAATTAGTTAGCAATCTGCAATGTCGTACACGGTTTGAGGAGTGGAATTTTCCCTACAGTCTCTTTGAAAACCAAATTACTCAGATCACAGCATGTGACCTTCTTGATATCACTAATAGACAGCAAGCATCTTTGCAAAAAAATAGAACTAATATATGATATGAGTTGTATACAATATATATGTGCGTCGGTGGCACAGTGGTTAGGACTCTCGCCGACCATGCACATGGTCCGCGGTTCGATCCCCTGCCGGCGCACACCCGATATCTATGGTCGGCCTGCAAAATTGGGCTACCGATATCACATGCTGAAAATTCCATACTTGTACCAAAAATAGGGTGTGGAATCAAGCTATAATAAATAAATAAATAAAATATATGTATGTGAAAGTAAGGCGATTTCGTCAACTATTTACCCATAAATTTGTCCTTGATCACTGTCTACACAGAGATGTTTGCATTGTAAGATTTCCGAGTGTGAACAATGAAGCCACATACGTTTACCTCACATTAACTTTCACGACCTGTGTGAAAATGAACTTAATCTTAAAAGATGGTTGGGGGCAATCTCCAGGATACCTTGGACCTAGGTTTCGTGCTTATTGCCATTCGCCATCAAGGTGTCTGTGCAATCTTGAAGGAACCCATGTCAACCAGAGATGCAGTCAGAAACGTTACCATAGTGGTAATCAGGGTCACGATTGACCGAACTGTAGGACTGTAATGGGTACTTTGATTGAACGCTAAATAGTAGGTGATATCACGCATCTAGTCCTTTGTTTGGTGAAGACCGAATTCCACCACTTAAGTTCCTCCAGGATACACATTGATGACAAATGACAGCAAGCACGAAACGTAGGCTTCCTGGCAATCGTTTACAACTATCTAATAAAAATGCTGAGACTACGTGTTGATGGCCAGTCACCTAGTTTCAAGGCCTCATTGCAAGCCTGACAGAGTTCAATCTGTACCAAACGAAGAAGTAGACGCATTACACTAGTTCTTACCTAGTGTCCAGTCAAAGAACTTAATCTTAAAACTTAAACTTATATGCCCTGAATTGTTTTTATTAACCTCTACAGAAATACTGTTTGATATGAGATCACAGCATGTAATCCACTTGATATGACAAATGGTAATCAAAAAGACAAGCGTATTTTCATAAAACCATATCCTACTGATTCACTGAGATGAGCTGATAGCCAGAAATTGGGTGGTTTGGACCGACTTAGATCCCTGAGATAAGTCAAACCAAGTACACCGTTGATGATCCCGTCCCCAAAAAGGTGAAACAGCCCTTCAGCATTTAGATCACCTTGATCTGGTTAGCACTACTGGTTTAATGTGAGTCGGTCGGTCGGTTTTCGACATAGAACTTTGCACATATGTGAGGCAGTTCAAGTCGCCACACTCCCTCAATGTAGCACACAAAGCAAGAGAAGAAAGTAGGAGAAATGCATAATAGAGACAGTAAACAGAGGTGTGAGACAAAGGTATAGTAATAACGAAGAACAAAACAGTTTCATTGGAAATCATGAGTCACAAGGAGTGGATGCATCTGCGCCACTGAGAACGATTTTGAGCCATGTCACCGATTGTTTCCAACCATTGGTTTTTACCGTCCCGAGGACCCCAACCAGGAAGTCTACATCTTCCTACGTGGCTTAGACTAACTGTTGTAGATTTCATTGACTGGTGCGATGTTTTCGTTTGACCGCCGCTAGCTAGCTCTTTTCCAGCCTGGCCCTATATCAGCTAACATTGCCGATATGTGAGTGGTATGTGTGAGTGGTATTTAATCACTCACCTCGATCAATCAGTAATATATAGTTTTGTACAAATATGCTTGCTTACTTCCTTGATCATCATTTGTAATATCAAGCAGCAGGATAAATACAGAGGTATACCATTCTTGACAGTATAATTGGATAAGGGTTACCGATGTACGTTACCTGTGACAACGCATTGTTTTAGTAGACACAAGGAGAATTTGATCTCGTGTGAATGACTATCGCTTAAGACGAAAGCCAGCAATATGACAAAAGAAGCAGCAGAGACAAGACTTCAAGTAAACACAGAGAACACATAGGTGATGAAGATAACCAACCAACAACAACAACCAGTAAAATTCACTATGAATGGGAGAAATTTGAAATATGTCATTTCGCTCCTTTATCTAGGCAGGAATATTTCAAATACTGGCGACAAAATTGATAGGGATGTCAAAACCAGAATCGGGAAGGCAAGGCAGACATTCATCATGCTGAAATCAGCATAAAAAACTAGATTGGGGATGTCAGCACCAAAGTTAAGTCAGTCAGCGCTTCTATATGGCTCAGGGGCTTGACAAGGGCGTCACCAAAAGCATTTCGAACATGGTTCAGACTTTTATCCATCACTAACTTTGCTCGATGCTGGAGATCAAATGGCTGACTATAAAGGATTAGCGACAGGCAACTCTGGCAACTAAGCAACCAAGAGCTTATTACCTAGTAAACATCCCCAAGAAACTGGAGATAAGTGAGTGACATCGCCTGACGGCGCGCCCTTCAGTGTAATCCGAATGGGAAACGAATAGTTGTGAATGTGTTCCTGAGGGACACGGAGAATGTCATATGAGGAAAAGATGAGAACCTATGTGCAGTCGTGGAACTAGGTGAAGAGGGTGAAGTGGAGATGTTCTGGTGAAGTCCTGTGTTTCACTTGGAACCTAAGGGAATAATAATAATGTACTATGGTTTGGTTTGTAAGGGTTAGTTATGTTTTACGAGTTGATCACGGACTGATATCAATTAGAGAACCACTGAAAACCAGGGAGTACTGGACAGCTGTTTCATTGTAGTCTGGGAATCATCGACAGTATGCACCCACTGGAATTCGAACGCAGGACCTTCCGGTTACAATGGAAGCTCGTATACCATTCATCCACTGGGAAGTCGTGACTAGTGAGGTCCAGTTAGACGCCACGTGTGTGGACGGATGTCCCACCAACGACAATGGTTGGGTTCGCGCAAAATCACGAATTGGTAGAAGTTAGAATTCATGAGCCATTGAACCGGGTCCCAGCGG